TAAAGCAATAAAGACCTTTAATTTTCATAGTCAGACTATGTTTTGGCCTCAACCAGTTTTTATCTTTTTATGTTATGAGGCATGGATTTCTTCACGGTGTTTCTATCTCCATAGAGAATGTTCAACTGGCTTTCACCCTTTGAGGAATGCATGTTAGATAAGGAGTGATATAGATTCTCATTTGATTATTTTATGCTCCACTAGATGGAGAAAAATACATCTACCATATTTAGCATTGATGATAATTATATCAATTTAGCATTATCAAAAGTACAGAGAAATTAACCTGGCTGGCATGGCTCAATGGTTGAGCATCAACCTATGAACCAGGAGGTCATGGTTCAATTCCTGGTAAGGGCATATGCCCGGATGGCGGGTTTGATCGCCAGTGTGGGGCATGTAGGAGGCAACCAATCAATGATTCTCTCATCATTGATGTTTCTATCTCTCTCTCCCTTCCTTGCTGAAACCAATAAAAAATATTTTTTAAAAAATTTATCGCTTTTAAAAAATAGTACAGAGAAGTTAATAATATAATTTACATTTCCACAAATTTGCTCATTAATTTTGTTGTTTCACTTAACATTTTTTGAGCACGTACTAAGTTATACTTTTGCTGACTGATGATAAATGAAAAAAGGAACTTGATACTACAGTAAGATAGGATAGGCATAAGGAATGGGGCTGACACAGAGGCACAATCGGTCCCTCTGGAGGAAATGAAAATCTTGGGTGGTGGGGGGGTAATATCCTAGATATGAAAACAAGTAAAAAAGAATCTAAAAATGCTAGAATGCTCTTATCTCCCCAGGGAAGTGATTCTATTGATATTCCCACCCTGGTCAGCCTCCCTTTCCCCACCAACCAGGTGTGTGGGGGCTGATGCTTAACATATATTGAGCCACATTAGATACAGCCTCCAGCTGTTAGCTGGAACCAAGTCAAAATATTGGAATCCCAAAGGGCAGCATTGACCATGAAATAAGAAACAACAAAAACAACCCACATCTCTTTGAACAGTGGTACGAGAAAGCAACAACAAAGAAGCACATAAAAACTGCTCCCAGTGGAAGGAAAAGGGAGAAGAAAATTTGACCTGATTAAAAATTATAACCAATATTTAGAAAGGAATTTCTAAGGGCAAGAGAATGAAATTAGTATGAGAGATAATGTACTAGATTATAGCATGCTAGTAGACATGATAGTAATCATTATGCTAATAGGTGATAGAATAATCTGAGTGAGATCACAAAATGAATATGTTCACAATGACTAAAGTTTTAAAGGAATACATAGAAGGCGTAATGAAAAAGAAAAAGAGGAGCTTGGAAAAGAAAGCTTTTTAAATTTAGCAAGTCTTTTTAAATGAGAATTATAATGATTGAAATGAACAGTTTAAACAACTGATGAGAAAGTTGATAATATATATGATCAATCTACAGAAATTACCCCAAATGCAACATATAAAATATTAAAGATTAAGATATTATATTTAACCCATTTATAATTATTTAATATAATTGATTATTGTATTTACATCAACTTTTTAATGTCAATGTGCTACTTTCTTTTTTTCTTTGTTATCTCTTTACTATAAGAAGTTTTCTTTTTTTCTTTTTCACTTTGCTTTTAGCTTTATATTCAATACCAGATTTTTTAAAAAATCTCTTACCTTTTACTTAATCAAGTCAGTTCATTAATTTTATCTATTTATTTTGTTAAGAATATGTGAGTAGTACATTATTATGAGCCCTTATATTTTAAAAAAGGGAAAAACTCCTTTGTTGGTGATAACCCTGATTCCACAACACCTTCCCTTCAAAATTTTGAAAATTTTAATCCATTTTTCCCCCTTGGTTTTTAGTGTGACAATGAATGAGGCTGAAGTTACACTGATTTTATGCCTTCTTTCATTAAGTGTTTCTGCTGAATGGATGCTGATAGAATTATATTTTATTTAAACAGACATTTCAGTTTTCCATGATATGTCTTTTCTTTTTCATAAATTTTGCCTAGTAATCATTCAGTACTTTCTAACTCAAGGTTTTAATCAGCATCAGAAAACTAAGTTTCACTATGCCTTTGATTAATCCTTTTGTGGCTGCTTGGATATCTTCTTTGATTGTACCTTTAATTATTAGGTTACATCACTTCAAATGATTTCTTATCATACTTTGTCCCTTTTCATCTCAGTTTATCATCTTTGTATCTCAGCCTGTTGTTCTTTCTTTTTTATTTTATTTTTAATTATAGTGTACATTTAATATTATCTTATATTTCATCCTGTTGTCCTTTCATCTTCTCCTGGTCTATTCCAATGTCTGTTTCTTGGAAATTTTGCTTCCTGGATACTACTAAACTTACAAAATAGAATTCTCTGATATTCTTCAGATAACTATAATTCTCACTCTGTGAAAGCCAGGATGATGCTTTTTCTTTGTCTCTGCTTTTGTTTGTTTATTTGTTTGTTTGTTTTGTTCTTCTTTTAAAATCTTGGTATTTGTTGTTGTTGTTTTTTCTCTTAAGACACCAAGTAGGATTTTGTGTTTTTATCTTTGGATGAATATTTGTCTACTCACTTTCAATTCAATAGCCATTTGAATCTCTCAGATTTGGATGGCAGATCCATGTGCATAATTTTTAAACCAATTTTCGGTGGTTAGTCATTTTTACTGAGTATAATTCCTCTGGACCGATGTGTAGCCTTCTCTTACCTGTGCTAACTGGATTTCCACTGCTTTGAATCAACCGAGTGTATGAAAGGTGCCACCCTCAGCATGCATTTCTATTAGGGCTCTTATTGCCTCTATCTTTATCCATATGCTTGTGGGAAATTCATTTTTGACAATGCAACAGGCTGCCTCCAATTTCTCTCTACATTCTGTTCTATTGTTCCTGAGGGATGTGGAAATATAACCAAGGACGGGCAAAGAAACATTGTTCTAATCACTTCCAAAAATGATATATGTGTATTACAGAGATAAATATATATTTTCATTGGTATGTGGAAATCAGATAATAGGGGACAGGCAAACTATTACTTCTATCATATTTCTGGAAAATGGTATTGCTTTGTTTTATGATGTAAAGTACATGTCAGTCACAAATTATTTTTATTAATCCTTTGCTGTGTACTCTACAGATGGTATAAATACTCTAGCAACAAATTACTAGTCAGAATCAATTTTTATGGACAAGTTCTTATATTTGAAATAGATAAATATATGTTATATATCTATTTTAGGGAATATTTAAAAGGGAATGTCTTAATCTATTAGACTGATACATTTTAAATTAGAAGTTTCTGGATATATCTGCTTAAAATCTTACTTTACTATGACATATAGGTACATGGGTTAACTAAATTGCTACTGGGATATATACTAGTATGTGTTATACATATTTTTGGCAAATGGAGCTTATACACTTATATATCCCAAGTAATGAAAGTATTTATAACTGGATTGTGCCTATATTTCTATGCTCTCTCTCACTTATCTAACACTAGGGAAAGTTTGATTTATTCTTCCAGCCAAAACCCAGCATTCCACTATTGCCAACACAGGGGGAAAGAACAAATGACCCACTTCTCCATTTCTAGCCTTGCATCTTTAAACTAAATAAATAATGGCTACTTGGAGTCATGACTACAAATAGAGCGATCTGGGCCCACACCTAGGTTGCACTACTTCATAGGCATAGCTAGTTTGTACAAGTGCTTAATCTCAGTCTTCTCACTAATAAAACGAAGATGAGATGGTAAGGAGATTGGATGAGATGCTATACATAAGGGACCTGGCACATACTAGTTTCTCGATTAATAGTAGTTATTTCTATTAAATGTCTGAAATTGTTTCTCCTTCTTCTGTTTTTTTTTTTTAAATTCTTTTTAGAACCAGAAAATAGAAAGATTCCCTTCTACCTTTTTTCATTAAGAAGATAAAGTAAGTATTAAATGAAAGACAGGAGTTTAGATCAGGAGTACTGTTATTCAGTGTACCTTATTCAGTGTTAGCATTTCATTTGCAATTTTATTTCTGGCTGGTAGCTCAATACATAATTGTCTTATTGGTGGGGATTTTGTTTAATTATAAACACCAGGAGGGGAAGGAAGCCACCTATATGGTAAATATAGACTCAAATTTAATTTGTTGGAAAAGGCCAAGTTAATCTTTTCCCTATATTAACAGAATACTCCTAAATACAGAAATTAAAATCACCATACCACATCTTTGTAATTAACCATATCAAATTCTTTGAAAGTCAGGACTAATTTTGCCTGTTTTGTACTGTATAGCATACTTTTGGGCCCATTACAGCATAAAATCATTACCCTTTATGGATCCACATTTTATTTCTATACTAGAGGCCCAGTGCCTGAAATTCATGCATGGGGGAGGAGGAGGGAGGGTCCCTCACCCCAGCCTGCACC